CTAAGTTCAATCCCCAGTTCTCAAAAAAAAAAAAAAAAAGATCCTGCTCTGTGAATCTTGAACCTTGGACAGCACATGCATAAACAGGGGTGCTGACCCTCATGCACGGAGGGGCAGAGACCCATCACCACCTCCTTTTTGCCTGTTTCCCGTAGTGCCACCCAGTTTCCATCATCCTGGACCCAGCTGGTCTGTGCAAGTGGATGTGACTGACAGCCTCACCCCTGGTGTGTGTGTGTGTGTGTGTGTGTGTGTGTGTGTGTGTGTAATGAGTCACCACAATGACAAGGATGGAGCTGGGATTGTGGCCCAGAAAAGTGACATCCTAGGTGGACACAATCTGGTGGCCCTGTGGGCAGAATTCACTTTGACGAACGGTATCTTCCTGCACAGCATTTGAATTTTTACTTAACTAGTTGCTCACACTGACACATCAAGATATTCCACCTAAAACTCTGGGCTTCCAGGGTCTTGTTGCTGTTACTATTATTTTTAATCAGAAGTGGTCATGACAGGCCCACATTCCCGCAGAGTGACAGTCTCCCAAAGTCAAATAGTAATGGTTTCCTTACATCTTTACATCATTCAGCTATCTGAATTTCAAATATCACACATGAGTCTGCTGAACATGTTTCCTAAACAGCCTGTCAGAGGTGAAGCTCCTATTTTGTCATGCTGCCTGTTCCCTGCACACCCTACTCAGTAGGGAAGTTACTTGCCTGGAATCTTCTGGCACCTGAGTTTGTCTCCCTGGTTCTAGGTGCTGATCCCTGGAGAAGGGGATGTGAGCCCAGTGATTTGTGACCCAACCCAGTGGACCTGCCCTTGAGTGATGGCATTGGGGGGAGGGTGTTGGGCAGTCAACTGGCTGGGTGACTCACCCACAATGCCTTGTGGCTGGGGCCTCCACAATGTGTGAACTTGGCCAACAGCCCAGACCTGCCCTTTATGAAATCTGCAGGGTCCTCACCTGAAAGTTATCCATGTAAGCAGCCACGTTGTTCTTCAGCTCAGTCACACACAGAGACACCCATTGGAATCTCTCCTCTAAATCATCAAATTCCTTGTCCTCTGTCTGAAAGAGAAGTGTTGCATGTGAGGGCTGAGAGGATCCACACGGGGGCAGTGCACAACCAGCTCCCACATCCAAGTCCTCACTGGGGACCAGCTTTCCACAGACTTGTCTGCCAGAGCTCATTCTTCCAGCCACAAAACTGAGTGGGATAGTTAAAAAGACAGTGTGGCTCAGTGGTTTTTCATTTGGATCATGGAATCAGACACCACCTACTTTCTCATCTATCTGCAAAATGAAGATAATAACACCAATTTCATTGTATGGATTCCATAACCCATAACTCTGGCTTGCAAGAAAAAATTCAACCTGAACTGCTACTAGTAGCTCTGTTTACACAACCCTAGAGACCAGCTGTCTTATCTGTAGCCTAAGAGGGGCTAACATTGCCTCTTCAGGAACAAGTGGGGTCTCTTCTGGGCACCTTATTATCTCAGCCTCAAGTGTCTCACTTCAGAAAGGAGCCTCAGTCTCCCACCTTGCCTACTGCATAGGTTCTGGACCCTTGGGAGGATCTGAGGTGACTTCTCACCCAAGCCATGCTCACCCTGGGCACCAGCCCGGCCTCTTGCTTCAGCATCTGACTTAGCCGGGTCGTTTTCTTGGAGAGGGTGTGTGTGTTGATTCGGGCCAGCCGCTCCCGGAGGGTCAGCTGCTCTACCTTGGTGTACTTGGAGGCTGCACCAACATAGGAGAGGGAGGGCACCTTCAGTGACCAGGGCTGATCCAGGACAGCCAGCATCCCTGACACACTTTGCCGGTCCCTCTGCTCCATCAGGATCTGTCATCAGAATGGGGAGTCACATAGGGAAAGTTCACTGCTCAGTGCCCTCCACTGCAGGTGAGAGCTCCCCACCTGCCTGACCTTGGCATGGCACCATTCCTCCTCAGGTTGCTAATCTGTAAAGTGAGGCTGGCCACCTTGCAGGGAGGATTACATAAGGCTGTAGATGTGAAGAGGAAGAGACACCATAAAGGAAGTCCCAGAGAGTAGCGATTTGTCTGGGAGTCCTTGGTCACTTTTAGCTCTGTCACAATGCTTCCTACTTATCTGATACCTGTCATCATAGGTAGAGAAACAAGCACACCGAGAGACACCAAATATCGTGTGGCATGGTGATGAAGACCCCAAGCTTCAGTGTGAATCCTCACTCTGGCCCTTACCAGCTGTGACCAGTAACAGGTGATGTTAGCTCTCATTTACCCAACTGCAAAATGGGGTTAACAAGGCCAACCTCAGAGGCTTAGCACAAGCGTCAACTGATTTTTTTTTTCCAGTATTGTGAATTGAATTTAGGACCTTGCACTTGCCAGGCAGGTGCTTATTCTACTGAGCTATCTCCCCAGCCCAGCACAAGGGTCAACTAAAAAAACAAAAGAAATACTCTCAGTTACTTCCTTAACAACAATGACCGATCAACCTGCTTGATCACTATATACTGCATACATGTGTTGAATTAGCACAGTACCCCACAAATATTTGTATGACTAAAATAATAATTTGAAAAGGAAATACCAGCTAAATTATCATTATCATGTTGACTGTGTGCAGCTAAGTGTCTCTATACTTGGGCCACTGCTCCATTTTCCAACTCTTTCTATTGCAGCAACAGAAAAGACAGGGTTCCCTTCTGCCCCACTCCAGTATTCATTTTTTCCTCCACACTGTAGCAGCCACACAGTTTGGATAAAGTTGGCCTCACTTTGGCTCACAGGATAGGTGCTTACTGGAATAGACCGATCCATAGAAACCCGCCCTCCTGGCAACACTGGCTGGTTCAGTAATGTTGAGTGCATGTGCAGGCCTAAGCTAATCAGTCCATGGTGGTTTCCTAACCATAGTGACAACTTCATGGAGAGCACACAGCCTGTTGGTCTTCATACAATGAGGCACCAATTCAGTTTTTCTAGCAAAGGGGGAAAAATCCCTATCTTACCATAGAGCGCATGGTGTATAGACATGAGTTTTAGAACAATAGTCACTTAGTACTCTGAGGGAAACCAGCTTGATGATGAAGCAAGCTGTTATAAAAAGCAGGGACAAGAGAATTACAGGAAAATGAAGCTACAATCTTGATCAAATTAAACCTAAAGCATATATGACCTCTGAGTGTATAATTACAAATGCCACAGCATCTTTATTGGTGTGCTACCAGCCTCTTGTAACTGGAAGCATTCTCACTGACGCAACCCCTAAATGCCCCAAGTTCTTACCCACTTCCTTGCGCATCTTGTACTCATTGATGTTGGCATTCACGTCCTGGAGGGCAGACGTTGCCCTCTGAAGGACAGGGTAGGCACTGGCATCAGGAAGTGTGTTTTCCAGGATTTTCTGCAGCAACAGTGGGTACTTGGTAATCCTTTGCAGGGGAATTACCAGTACAAAACTGAGGCCTGAAGGTCCAGCTTGTGGCCTAAGGGAAAAGGCTGGTGTTAGGCAGGTAAAGCATGGGGCCCTGGGCTATGCAGGTCTGATCTCAGGCAGGTCACTGTCTCCCCTGTGGCCCTCATTGTCCTCATGAGCAATCTGGGAGGCCCCGTTGCTAGGGGGGCCGTGTCAGTCCCAGCCTTGCTCCCTCATCTGCACCAAATCGGGTAGTGGTGCGTTCACTGCCCTCGGTCGATGGGTCTCTGCCACTTCCCCTTGAAACACACTCTTCCTTCCACTCCAGAGACTCCCGTGCTCTCTTCTCTCTGCAGTCTGCTCTTTCTACCTTCCCTGTGGCCCTGTCTCTAACCCTGGAGTGTCCGGGAGCCTCCTCCCCACCCGCCAACTCTCTCATTGATCTCATTTGTCTTATGATGTTAAATATATCCCAAACCCACATTTCCATCTCTAACTTTTGTCCAGGGCTCCAGACTCACACAGTCAACTCCCTACTTGACATCTCTACTCCAACATCCCAGGCACAACTCTGTGTTGAGCATCCACATGATCTTTCACTTAATAACATGGCCTGCTGCTTTGGGAGAGCTTGGAGATTCGAGCAAGGGAGTGTGGCTACTCATATATCCTTGGCTGAGGAAACAGTCGTTCTCTATGAAGGGTGGTGATGGTGGTGGTCAGTCGCCTTCTTTGACCAAGTGTGTACCTTCGGGAAGGACTCACATGGGCAGGAAGGGAGTCTCTTAGCTACTTTTCCTTCAGTGCTGAGACATAACACCCAACAGCCAAAGTTAAAGGGGGAGGCCAGCCAAATAGCTCAGAGGATTAAAGCACCTGCAAGCAGGCACAGGGGCCAGGGGCTCGATCCCTGGACCTGCTGTGTCGGCCCTGCCCCCGGGGCATGCTGAGGCAGTGATTGAGACTTGGTGTGGTGGTGTGCTCCTATAAACCCAGCACTTGGGAGGCTGTAAACAGGAGAATCACTACAAGTCCAATCTAGTAGTGAGACCCTGAACACTCTGTAGTCCCTTCCCTAAAATACAGAAACAAACAAACACAAAGTTAAAGGGGAAAAGCCTTACTTAGCTGACAGTTTGTAGAGGTTTCAGTTATAATCACCTGGTGCCAAGGTAGAGTGGCAAGGCACAGGGGACCACAGAGGACAATCAGTTCATGGCAAGCAGAAGATAGGAAAAACAAGCAAGCAAAGGGACTTACCAGGGTCTTTCTATCCCTTGTATTTTATCCAGGCTACTTAGAGCAGGTAGGACTCACATCCTGATGCCCTTGAGCCTAGCATTGCACTATGAATCAATTGCAGTATCACACACTCTAAATCTGAAAGTGCCCTACCTATGACTGCATCACATTTTTTTGGGGGGGTGGCCATCTAGACACAGCCATAACAGGGAGGAAAGGGACACCCACCAGGCCAGCCAGATCAGCTGAATCAGCCCTGGTGATCAACACAGTGACAGATATCACAATCAGATTGGCCTCGCATCTTGTACTGCTGCTACTTACTTTTTTTTTTTTTTTTTTTGAGACAGGGTCTTGTACAGTTCAGACTGACCTTGAACTCATTATGTAGTCCAGTTTGGCACTGAACTCATGGGGAACCTCCTGCCTCAGCCTCCAGAGTGCTGGGATGACAGGGATGTGCCACCATGCCTGGCCTCTGCTGCTTTTTAAAAATCAGAAGAATTGGGCCAGGGAGATGGCTCAGTGGAATAAGCACTTCCCTGGTAAGTGCAAGGGCCTGCCTTCAATCCCTGGTTCCACAAAAAAAAAAAAATCACAAGAACTTAATTTTTCAAGATGCACTTAAGGCATAAATGCTGTGTGCTTTAGTATAAAGTTATAAATAGCTTAACTATAACAAAATGTCATAATTCCTATAACTTCTTTTAAATAGCTTAGCACTTAAATAGATGAAATGCAATAAAATGTTAACTCTTACTCAGTTTAGGAGGGAATATGAGAATGTCTTGCATTATGCTACTTTTTTAAAGGCTTAAAATTTTTATTAGAAAAAGTAAAAAACAAAACAAAGCACTGGAACAAATGCAATGGCAAGGGGCCGGGGAGACAGCTCAGTAGAATAAGCCCTTGCCTGGCAAGCGCAAGGGCCTGAGTTCAATCCCCGGTTCCGGAAAAAATAAAAAAAGAAATGCAGACAAATGCAATGGCACTGCAGCCCACTCCAGAGACACTTCTAGGCCCCTTCCTGATGTCTGGAATTTCGTCAGGAGTTTCCTATAACTATGACACTGGGATGGCCACCAACAAGCTTTTCTTGATTATGACTGGTTTCTGGGAAACCCATAAGATTTCTAGCCTGTAATGTCCAAGTGTGCTACTTGTAAGAATCCTCCCAAGTGCTTCTCAGCCCCACGGTTCAGCCTTTCCTCACTGGCTCCCTTGCCTCTTCTTCTTCCAAAGGAAAAATCTCCACACCAAATGTTCAAGAAAGACCAACATGAGGCCAAGACCAGGCAAAGCAGGTGGGACCCCTCCAGGCTGCACACGTGGGGAGGCAGGATGGGGTTACCCAATGGGTCACCTCCACTACCCATCTGTTCCCACCAACGGTGTCCTGGAGCTTGGCCTATGGTGGGGAGTGGAGGTAGAAACAGTTGGCAGATATTTGCAAAATTCCATCCTCTGTGCGTTTATTTTCCCTGGGAAAGAGCCATCTGCCTCCTAGGAAGAAGCTTCACCTTAGCAATGAAAGGGCACAGGAGGCAGCCCCTCAGGGCCATGGTCACATGCCTTCTTCGGAGCCAGGACGGTAACCATCATGAATGAACTAAAATCATCATAAATGAACACTGGTGCTATTCACATTCATAACTTCTCAAGATAATTTGGAGAAAATGTTTATGCAGTCTCTTAGATAGGCACCAAAGCCAGAAGAACATGCAGATCTGGGTGGGTGTTAGGAAACAGGACTTTTTCTGGCTCTTGGCAAGAGTATCATTTGGCAAGAACTTCTTGGACAGCAGTTGAGCAACACAAGAAACATACGAACCTTTACTCTACTGACCCCACCCTGGAAGCCTACCCAGAGAAGTACTGGTTTAAGCAAACAAAGATAAAGGCAGAAGTTACTCAGCAACTGTATTTATGATAGCAGAAAATTGAAAGTAATTCAAAAATCCATCAACAAGGGAAGGGTCAAATAAATCAAAGTCTATAAACTGTCCTGGAAGGAACTCTCTGTAGCCTTTAAAAAGAACATGAGAGAACTATTCACACTGTTGAGAAAAGATATTCATAACTATACTGATTCAATGAGAAAGCAAGTTCTAGAACAGAATGTACAGTAGAAACCCTTACCCCCCAAAAAAATGTATTCCCTGCTTGTCTGTCTGCTTATCTATCAATCTGTCTGTCTGAAAATATACAGAAGGAATTTGGATGGAGACCGGGGAGATGGCTCAGTAGAATAAGTGCTTGCCTGGCAAGTGCAAGGGCCTGAGTTCAACCCCTGGTTCCGCAAAAAAAAAAGAAAAAGAAAAGAAAAGAAAAGAAAAGAAAAGAAAAGAAAAGAAAAGAAAAGAAAAGAAAAGAAATTTGGGTGGAAAACTAACTACTGGGAGAGTGACAAAGAAATGAGATACCAGGAGAGAATGGACTTTTACTTTATATATTTGTGTATGGTTTGCTTTTTCTTAAATAAGCACATATTACATTTATATTTAAAACCAACAATGAACTGATAAAGGAAAAGAAAGATGGCTCTGTGTCCTGTCCAAGCTAAGCTGCCTTGCCATCATTCTGGAACCTGCATGCTTGTGCTGGCCTGATACAAGTCATCTCCGCCCTGTGCCTCAAGGATACACCTTCAGCACACCACCCTATGCCTATGGCAGAGCTCCCCGCCAGCTGCAGAGGGGTGTTTTTGATCTGCTTGGCTGTTGCAGGCAAGTGTCCCCTTAAAAGGTAGGATAAAATGAACACCTGCCCAAAGAAAGGAGGGACATGCATTTTGCAACCACACAGAATCTCATTAGAAGTACAATCTAAGCTGATATCTGAGAAAAGATGATTTATGGCTGGCACAGTAATTCTAGTTGGTCAAGCTCAGGGAAGTATCCTGAGGTCATAAGCACAAGAAAGCCAAGATCATTGTTTCATGAGAGAGGAGATCAAAAATCATGCTGACAGGGAGGATGTTGCTCCTGGCATGGCCTGAGACCCGACTCAGGGGTCCTGGCAACCTGCAGGTCTTGGGGGTATAGACACAGAGTGAGCAGGGGCGTCTGTCCCTCTGAACACTCAATGACTAAATAAAGGCCTCAAGTGTGCTGTGATTTTGAGAACCACAACCCTCATAACACTTGAACTCTGCCCATTACATGGTATAGCACTGGAAAATACCTAACACTATCTTCTATACATAACACTCAAATCATTTGCAACAATCATCACCTTTCCTTGTGTTCTCTGCTCCCCACTGGGTAATGTTATTCCTACTTCAATCATCTTATTTTTTTCTGGTATAGTTTGTGTCTAGTTGTCCCCCAAACACTCATGCAGTTATGGGGAAGACTTTTAGAGTTTGTGATTAATTCATGATCCAGTGCTGGGATTATGGGTGTGACAGCTCCTGGGATTATGGTGTAAGGGTTGCTGGGATTAGGCGTATGAGTGTTACACCCAGCCTGAGGCAGATAGCCTGCCCTCTTCCATGTGCCACTCTGCCTTGGAGCCAGCTAAGTATGGACTGCAACCTCCACTGTGAGCTACATAAACCTTTCCTTCCTTACTTTTGGGTGTTGGGTATTTTGTACCAGCAAGGAGAGAAAAGTAACTGAGCCATCTTTCTCTTACTATGTACAAGGAAGTCAGGTGTGTTTTCTAATGGCTCTTCTGCAGCACATGCTCTTCTGACCCCTCCTTTCCTGGACTTATTGCACAGAATGGCATGTCTTTTTCTTTCCTTACATCCAGGTGCTAGCATCTGAATACCTCATTATGTCTGTTAATGTCACGTGACCCGAGCATTTGCATAATGAATTAAACATTTCATTAGAAATTATTTTCCAGGCTGGCCAGATAGCTTTGCGGATTAAAGTGTCTGCTTAGGCAGATGGAGGGGCTGGGAATTTGATCCCCAGCCTGCTGTGCTGGCCCCGGGGCACTCTGAGATGGTGAATAAGACTGGGCATGGTGGCACATGCCTTGGGAGGCTAAAAACTGCAGGATCACTATAAATCTGATCTGTGTAGTGAGACCCTATAGACCTTGTACTAAATACATAAAAAAAGAAAACAAAAATTTCTTTTTATTTCCTTTGTTTTCTCTTTATTTCTCCTTTATATTACAGGTAAGTCATTAAATTGATTTTTTTAGTTATGAATTTTGGAATTTTTTTTCAAATCCTATCTCAGGATAACAAATGTATTTAATATTTGTTACAAAAGGGGGGCACTGGAACTGATGGAGTTGAGAACCACAGAATGGTCTCAGAATATAATTTCTGCTCAGCTAAGAGAACTAGAATGGATGGAATTCCCTGAGGATCTCTTGGGTCACTCCAGGAGGTACTTTACCCTTGAGGAAACTAGGCTTCAAGCTGTGAAATGGCTCCTTCTCAGTGAGGGGCTGAGCCAGGTCTACCACCAGGCCACCTGGCTCGAGGGCCTGTGAGAGGCTCAGATTGCAGAGGGCAGCATAGTGACACCTGGGGCTCCCCCACAGCACTGTTCATACATCTGTACACCTGGGAAATATTATACCTAAGCCTCCAGCTTCTCTTGTGAAATCAACTGATCAGGCTACAGGGAACTTGCATTCTATGTGATAACCAAGGCAGATGGTTTGCAGAACACGGCTGTAATTATTCCCCTCCTTGTCTCCACAACCTCTAAATGTGAATTTGGAGGCCCTCCCACCGAGCAGTGAATCTGTTTCCCTGTCTTAGATCTGGGCTAGCTATACCATGTGATTTGAGTGACATTAAGGCTTCTGAAGGCCTTGCTGTCACTACTGCCCTTATAGCTTGCAACTGCTATATGAACAAGCCAGCCTGCAGGAAGAAGAGAGAATCTGTGGCCAGAGCGGAGCCAGCTCACGTGTCCCAGATCATTAAAATGCCCAGCCAGGACCAACAGCGTCCAGGGACTGTGGATCCACTGGGTCCTCATTCCCAAGAAGAATCAGCTTTCTGTTTACTGCAGTTAAACTGCTAACATGCAGAAGCATAAACTAAATAAATGTCCGTTTTAAGGCCTTACATGTTGGGGGGTGGTCTGTTATCTGGCAAGAGCGACTTGATGAGGTAACAAGCCCTGGGACTGGGCTGCAGCTGTGCCCCACAGGGTGCCGCATTCTCTTTCCACTCCTCCCTTCTATCCTATGCCCAGCTCCTTGCTTTCCTGGTTCTATCGTCTGCCTCGCTGCTATGAAAGTGGATTTGGAGGCCCCTGCAAAGCCCACATTTTGAAGACCCACCATGGGAAATGAGCTTAGTTACTTATGAGGCAAGAAACTAGAAAATGGGTTCTTAAAGAAGAGACTTTGGTGGAAAGAGAGAGATTGATGATTGAGAAAAAGGAGAGATGATAGAGATAGAGGAGGATCCATGCAAGACCATCACCTCTGAGTCTATACTGCTATTCTCTTGCCAGGAAAAGGGGTGCCTCAAGGGATGTTTATAAAATAAATTAATAACAATAAAAATCTCTATTTTCCTCCACTATTCTGATTTTCAGAAAATGATCTTCATCCACCTCCATGCAGTGATCGTCCCAGGGAAGACCTAGCCCTTTATTACATGTGGAAGACAAGCAGAGCAATTTGTAGGAAAGGATGGACAACTGGCTCTTACAAAAATGATGACTACCTTAAGTCATACGATGACTGTAAAACCATATCAAGACACCGCTTTTCACCTGTTCCGCAGTGCAAACATCCTAAAGTTTGGCAACACATCCTGGGGGAGGAGCTGTGGGGAAACAAGCTCACTTATCTGTTGCTGATGGAAATATAAAGTGATGTGGCCTTTACCAGGGCAGCTGTTATAGTTTACCAAAATATTCAATAGACATTTCCTTTGACCTAGCAATTCCACTTCTGGAAGAGTCTCTTACAGTTAGACTTGGACCAGAATGAGACAGTTTATATTAGTGAATAATGAATAAACATTGTAGCGCTGTCTATTATATGAAAAGAACAAGAACAAACCAAATGTCTGTCCACCCACAGAGACCAGCTAGATAAACTGTGGTCTAGCCACCTGGTAAAAGAACACGCATACAGCTAAAGAACCATGGATGTTATGTGTTGAAATGCAAAGACCTCCAAGAGAGATATAAACATAATGAGATTTTTTTTTTTAAAGATACAAGCTTTCATTTAAAAGTCAGAAGGTTAAGAGTGTTTGGAATTGCTAACCTACACAAAAAGGAACTATACAAAGATACATAAGAAAGTCTAAAAAGTTACCTTAACTTTAAGGTAACCATTAAGACTTCTGAAGGCTTTCCCTTTGTTGTAGGCAGCCGAGTTAGACAGAAATATTACAAGCAGTTAGACAGGGCCAGGCCCTCAAGGAGACAAGATGGAAGACAAGGTGGATTTGCAACTTGGAAGAGACAGACACTCCCATATGGGCCACACCTCAAAACCAAGAAAAAAAGAAGAAGCACAGCTACATACTTCCCTAGGAATGGGCATCAGGGATTGATATCCTAAATAGTATCAATCAACTTGAAAGAACCCAAATGAGTCACTAGCTAAACCCCCAACAGGAAGAGACCCTGTTCCGTATTTGTGCCCGCTTGCTACATGACTCGCTTTCCCATTTGATACTGGATTTAATCAATTTTACCTGAGCAATGGTGCTTGTAATCTCATTGGTTGACCATAGTTTTGTCCCACCTCATGCCCAACTAAGGGAGTTCCCATGTCTTCTCCACCACCTTAGACCCGCCTCACCACATGGTTTTCCTCTATAAAAGTCCCTGCCAGAGACAGTTTCCTGGGGGAAACTACTTGCTCGGGCCCCATCCTCCTGTCCCTCTCCCGGGACAGGAGCTTTCTTTCTCTCAATAAATATATTCTGCTCGTAACCTCCGTTTGTTCCTAAAATTCATTCTTTGGTTTTAGAGAACATGAACTCGTGCAGGTCAGGTCCAGAGATCATTTTTCTCTATGTCATTTAGAGGTTCCCTCTATCGTTTGGAGGTCACCCACCCAAGACCAGTTTTTCTCCCTGTATCACCTTCAGAAGGGGTGGTGACTAGGTAATGAAGGGACAGAGTTGGGGAGGGTTTTTTCACTATGTAAGTGTCTCTTTTTATAGTTTTTGAATCATATAACTATGTTACTCATTCAAAATTTTACACTTAAAAATGTGCTTCCTGCATTTTTCTACCTGGACTCCCACCCACAGACACTAGGGCTGTGAGGCCACTGGGAGTAGTTGTGACTCTTGTCCATGGGCAGGACTTCAGCCTTCCGTAGAGCAGGGAGCCAAGGTGATACACTCCTGCTTCCATCCCTGGTACTGATAGCCCCTGCTTCCTACCACACCACTGCCTTTCCCTACTGTGGCCTAAGTGCTGGTCACTAAGTATTTCTGGCTCTCTGTCTCAGGATACATGAAAGGATGCTATGCCCTGCATCCTGACAGACGGATAAAGCAGTAAATAGCTTAGGCCAACAGTGAGAAGAGATGGCTAGCATTTCTGAACTAGAGCACTCAAAACCAGCACTGGGCCTCCAGAGCTCTGGGCCCTTTGTCAGCTGCTGCTAATGTTCCAGACAGTGGCTGCTGCGCATGTGCATCCTGCAAGGAGGACAAGTAAAAGGAGAACCCCCCTTGGAGCATAAGGAAGACAGAAACCCAGGTCTGAAACCCTGAGGTTTAGGAGCTGCTTGTCTCAGCAGCATGGCCAGGCCTTGCCTGACTGATAACTGACGCACCCTGACGCAGTCCCGGGCAGGGCTGAGCTAAACAGCCAGGCTCGCTGGTCACACTACTCACAGCACAGCCTGGATGATGCTCTGGATCTCCTGCTGCAGCTCTGGCTCCTTCCGGTACGCTTCCAGCAGCAGCAGGGCCTGGTCATAGTTGGCACAGTAGACCTTATATACTTGCTCAAAATCCTCTCGGAATTCCAGAAATAAGTTACCTAGTGGCAAACAAGCAAAAGGGGCTATCAGGGTGTGTGTGCATGTCCTCCTGCTTGGAACAGGCAGGCAGTAAGCCAGCCACTCCTGCTCCGCAGTGAGCCTGCTGGGCTTCACCAGCCTCTGCCTTCGGCCAGTTGTCTCCTCTCCTGGGTTTCTGCTCTTCGTCTCAGTTTTTTTTTTTTTTTTTTTTTT